AGAGAGAGGCAGGAGGGAGGACCAGAGAGAGAGGCAGGAGGGAGGACCAGAGAGAGAGGCAGGAAGGAGGACCAGAGAGAGAGGCAGGAGGGAGGACCAGAGGCAGGAAGGAGGACCAGAGAGGCAGGAGGGCGGCTGGGAAGGATCCACTGAGCTGGGCCGTCCCAAGGCGCCATCTTGGTGTCCCTCAGCCGAGTTCGAGACTCCGGACGGCCACTTCTACGACGTGCTGGAGCTGCCGTACCACGGCGAAACCCTCAGCATGTTCATCGCCGCGCCGTGCGACAAAGCCGTGCCCCTCGCCGCCCTCACCGCCACTCTGGACGCCGAGCTCGTCAGACACTGGAGCGGCAACATGACCAGGCTACCCCGCCTCGTTGTGCTGCCCAGGTAGGCGTCCGCCATCGCCGCGGCCCACACCCCACCCCGCCACCCCCATGTGGCCCCGGTCCCCATGCGGGGCTTCCCGGACGCTCTCGGGACAGGGCCCGTGCGGGAGGCTGACGGGGACATTTCTGCCCGGGTTGGTCATGGCCTCCGGTTTCATCATCTTTCTGTCTTTTCCACTGCTGGAGAGGAGAGAGAGAGAAACTCGTACCCACGCGCAGAACTCCAGTGAGGGCAGTGACTGGATCATAGTGGCCCAGCCTGTGCCTGGGAGGCTGAGGCCGGGTAGTGAGTTCAAGCCCGGCCTTGGGCGAAGGCTGAGGGTGCAGTGTGCTCACTCGCATGCCTGAGGGGTGGGAACCCAGGACCACAGGGACCAGTCAGGGTGGTTCAGACTTGCAATCCTAACACTTGAAAGGCTGGTACAAGAGGGTAAGGAGTTCAAGGCCAACCTGGGCCGTCTACAAGACCACCTGATGGGGGAGGAGACGGGGGAGGGGCGGTGGGCAGGGCCTCTCCTTTCACCCACCCAAGCACACAAGCCAGGAAGGCCAGCTAAGAGGAGCTCTCGAGACAGTGCTCGGGGCACTGGAATGTCCCCGCACCCCTCCGCACCCCTCCGCACCCCTCACCCACAAATGAACCAGGCCGAGGCGCAGCCACAGCGTCTGAGCCAGACTCCAAGGGAAACCCATTTCTTTCCCCTCATCCTTCCGCAGAACTGGAGGGGATGGTGGCGGGGTAGCCCAGAATCACAGGGCGGCCCCCAGCCGGCTCCCCTGAACCCCGATGGGGAAAGAGCAGACCCGAGCTGCTTCTCCTCCGTCTCTCTCATCACGGTGGAGCTAATGAGTCATGCCCCCGTGGGGGGGGGGCGAGCACCCCAAAGCAGCCTGCACCACAGCGAGCTCCCGCAGGGCGAGGGCGCACCTGCCCCTCCTGCAGGCAGTTCTGTCAAAGCTGCGTGGGGAGCCATTAGTCACAGGTCTGAGGGGCGGAAAGAGTGAACAATGATCATTAATAGTAGAAGCTTCTGGCAGGAGGGAAAGGCCGGCCCTCCTGGCCAGAGAGGGGGTTTGAGGCAGGATGACCAGGAGCCAGGCCAGGCTTGGGGTGGCCGAGTTGGTGGAATGCCTGTCCAACTGGCTACATGTCCAACCGGGCACGGGCTTCACGCCTGTAAATCCTGGCACTGAGGAGGACCAGTTCAAGATCATCTTGAACAAACGAGTTAGGGGCCAGCCTGGGCTACAGGAGGCCTGCGCCCAGAACAAAGAGCCAGCCTTCTGTCCTCGTGCTCCTGTTGGTCTGCCCTAAGGGGACCTGGTGGGTCCGGGGAGCGCTTGGAGGCCACACTGACCTACCCCCTCCTGCCCGCAGGTTCTCCCTGGAGACGGAAGTGGACCTCAGGGGCCCCCTGGAGGACCTGGGCGTGACGGACATCTTCCACCCAAGCAAGGCCGACTTCTCTCGCCTTTCCGGTGCGCGGCGGCCCGTGACTTCCTTGCCCCCATGGCTCAGGGTTTCCCACTCAGATGGTGGCTGACCGCCCCGTGCTCTCTGTTTCAGGCCGAGAGCCACTCTCCGCAGCTCAGGCTCGGCAGAAGGTCAAGGTGGAGGTGAACGAGAGCGGCACAGTGGCGTCCTCCTCCACCGGTGAGCGCGCCAGCCTCGGCCTGCATGGGACCTGGGCCACTTCCTGGGGCTGCTGCTATCTGTGGCTCCTGAGGTGCTGCGGCGCTGGAGAGTGAACGTAGAGGATGTGCTTAGCTCTAAGCTCTAAGCGTAGCTCAGAGGGGCCCTGCAGCCTTAGGGGCGACAGCGAGAGAAGAAGAAACCGCCTGAAGCAGGCACAGTGGCTGAGGCAGGAGGATGCAAGTTCACATACGAGAGATCCTGTGCTGAGAAACCAAGGACGAGGGAACATAGCTTGATGGGAGAGCCCCTGCCTAGAATCCCCCAGTGAGGGGCTGGGTGTGGCTCAGTGGTAGAGCAGCTGCCTAGAATCCCCCAGTGAGGGGCTGGGGTGTGGCTCAGTGGTAGAGCCCCTGCCTAGAATCCCCCAGTGAGGGGCTGGGTGTGGCTCAGTGGTAGAGCCCCTGCCTAGACTCCCCCAGTGAAGGGCTGGGTGTGGCTCAGCCATGGCACACAGAACACTCTGGTTCCAGACTCACCTGAAAACGATCTCCCGGCGCTGCCATCAGATGGACTGATCCAGTGACACCCCCCAACCTATCGCACTATCCCTCTCTTTCAGCCATTCTAGTCTCCGCGCGCATGGCCCCTCTGGAGGTAGTCATGGACCGATCCTTCCTGTTTGTGGTTCGGCACAATCCGACAGGTGAGCAGGGCCCTGTCACCCTCCTGTCCTCCTTCCCCCCTTGTCGATGTCCCCTTGAGCCCGCAGGGGCTCAGCAGACGCTCTTCAGGTCCAGCCTTTCTCAGAGCTCCAGCCTGATGGTGCTCCTGCGGCAGCCGTGGCCCCCGAGGCCCTCTCACCGCCTCTGCTCACGCTTAGCTCCCATGATTCTCCTGCCCCCAGAGACCATCCTCCTCCTGGGCCAGCTGATGGAGCCCTGAGCGCCGGAGGAGAAGCCTCCATCTGGGACAAAACTGGACACATTGTGAGCAAAGGCTCTGAGGAAGGAACTGCTCCGACTCTCCCGGAGAAAGAGGAGGCGTTTCCTGTCCGCTCACACTGGTAAATCTTCCCTCGGCCTCCCAACCTCGGACTCTCGCGGGGAGAAGCTCCGAGGCCCCAGCAGGGCACCCGTCCCGGCTCTGTGAACCCAGACCCTGGGCGTGCCCAGCTCCGGCCCGGCCCTCGGAGCTGGCTCCCGGCGAGGCCCAGCCGGGCAGGGCCACTCGCGCTGCCCGCCGCCGAGAGGCCGCCTTGCCAGCGGGGGCAGCGGGGGCAGCTGGAGCCGCCCCCAGCTCGCCCGCGCCCTCCCTCACCGTGTGCACTGTTTCAGAGTGTAGGCGACTTGTTTACACAGCTTTCTTTGTCTTTTGGGAAGAGGGAAGGGAAGGTGGCTGTGCCCGGCTCTGCATCCCGACCCCCGGTGGGGCGCGGGTCCGGGTGGCGTGACCACTTACCACATTCTTGCTCCCTCGCCGGCCAGGGGGAAGGCACTTAAGGCAACGCGCCTTATTGAAGCCATGGCAGCGGCCCAGGTGGGGTCTCAGCCCTGTGTGTCTACCGCGCCATGGCCCGAGGCTCACACCGCCACCCAGTGGCGCCCCCCCCCATGCCAAGGTGCCGCCTGGCTGCCCACATAAAGGAAGGGGAAGAAAAGATTAGGAGGGAGAGACGTGAGGGAGGGCAGAGTGGCTCCCGTCTTCCCAGCACACCCAGGGGCTGCGTGACCCAACAGGACAGAACCTTCTTCAGTCACCGAGTGACTCAGCCGCTGACTCACCTCAATGTGTCATTTCCGGCTGCTGAGTGAGCGGGGGACATGGGGGGGGGGCAGCCGGCTCCCGGCCACCTCGTTAGATAATCTTTCCTGAGAGCCTCCCGGGTGGGGGTCGATCAGAAAACCAATTTACTGAAGAACGGGGGTGACGAGAGTACGCCTCATGCCGCCCCACCTCGACCGCCGCAACAACACGGCTCCTGTGTCCTGCCCCTCCTGTCTCCTCCCGGCTATGCACTGGACAGCCACAGCCCGTGTCCCTACAGGCCCCGAGCACAGGGCCGGTTGCTCTTGAGTTTCCTTGGTTACATCCGCCTTTTTTCACTTTTGATATATAATCAGGTAAATGTGTTTTTAAAATAATAAAAACAAAGATTAGCAGACAAAGGTGCTTGCTTTTTGCCTTCTGTGTTTTACACAAAGAATTAAAGCAGCGCTGAGGACTGGCGAAATGGCTCCGCAGGGACCCAAGTTCAAGCCCTGGATCCCCTCAATGGAAGGAGAGAACTGACCAAAGCTGTCCTCTGAGCTCTGTGCACCCACCCCCACACTCCCACACACGCTCACTCACACCCACACACACCCACTCCCACACCCACACACTCACAGGGGGTGGGGCTCCCAGCACTTGGGAGGCAGAGGCAGGAGAGTGCCCAGCTCTGGGCCCTGGGCAGCCTCGGGCATCAAGCATCAAGCTGGGGGCCGGAGCCTGTGACCACCATGACGGTCACCGCAAAACCGCAGTCTGCCCCTGGGACAAGTTCTGCACAGCCGTCCTGGGGGGCGGGCAGCTGAGGGCGAGGCCCAGCGCGAAGGGCGCTCTAGCTTTGGTCTGTGGCACTTCAGCAACCCCGTGTGGTGACACACGCCTGTGACACACGCTGGTAGGTCCAGGAGGGGGAGGCAAAGGCAAAAGAAACTGGAGGCCCCTGGAGGGATCGTGTGGCCAACCAGAAGAGACAGGCTGGTGCAGGGTGGGCGGCTGGGTGTGGTGCCTCCATCCCAGCATGAGAAGCAGAGGCAGGAGCATGGCCGCGAGTTCAAAGCCAGCCTGGTCTATATGGCAAGTTTCCGGTTGGCCAGGGCTGCCTAGGGACAGACCGGAGAGGAAGAGACAGAGCCGAGGCTGAAGGAAGGCGCCCGCCCGCCGGGCTGAAGGCCGCGCGTCACAGTGAGACTCAAACGCTGGGGAGCCGGCTTGGGCTTCTACCCACGAGCAAGGGGGAGGGGAGGCAGGAAGAGCAAGACCCAGGAGTCATCCCCTTCATCCAGTGAGTTCAGGGTGAGCCTGGGACATGTGGAAACATGAGGAGGAGGAGGAGGAGGAGGAGGAAGAGGAGGAGGAGAAGGAAGGAAAGGAAGAGGAGGAGGAGACAGAGGCACAGATGGAGCCGCCACCCACACTCAAGGGCCCAGTCGCCATCGGCCTCTGGCTTTGTAATCTGTTCCTCCATGTGCTTCCATCAGGCCCCCTCACCCGGCCTTGCACCCGCTCTGCTCCCCCACTCCGCCCCCGGGAAGCCAGCCAGCGTGACTCCAGCAAGCCTGCGCTCCCCAGGCCTGAGGCACAGGCGTTCACGCCCGGCGCCCCCATCGGTTCCCGGATCTTCCCAGCCCCCTCCATCAGGCTCCCAGCTCTTCCGCTCCGCATCCGCTCTCTGCAGCCGCCTTTAGGGCCTTCCTGGAAAGTGTTTCTTTGGCCCTCGGTTTGGGGCCCGGCGCTTACTTACCGCTGTGATGTGCGTGCTGGACTGGGTGTGCCCAAGGTGGGAGCTCCGAGTGCTCCCCAGGACAGAGCTCGGGCCTGGCCCAGCCCAGTCCCCCCCCCACACACACGCACACAGGCGTCCGGGCTGGGTTAGCCACCCCAGAGAGCAAAGCAGAGACGCTGGGACTGTGCCCACACCTCAGCTGAGGGCTGGACTGGGGGGGGGGGGCGCCACATTTGAGGACGGATCTGAGATGTCCTGGGAGAGAATCTAACTCCTGCAAATGACCCTCTGACCTCCATGTGTGAGGCCTGGCATGGGCTATGTGTGCTCGTAAACACGCGTGCCCGCGCACACACACAGAGTAGATAAATGGAAGAGAAGAAAGAAAACAGCTCTGGTCTGACCCGACACGTCTCCAGCCTCCTGCCTCACCCTCTTGCACAAGCACCTTCCCCCCCAGCCCCCCCCCCCCCCCCGCTGACTGGTGGGGGGAGGGAAGAGAAGAATTCAAGGATCCTCGAACCCAGACACAATCAGCCCTCAGACCCCGGACACGAGAGCAGTTCTGGGTCTCGGGCTGAATCGTGACCCATTTTATAATAAGAAATTCCTCTTTAAAAAACTTAGAAGGAACTCTACAGACAAAGCTCACAAAGCAGGCTCGTGAGGCGGGTTCTGAGTTCAGAGCGGGCGCGGGGCGGGAGAGCTGGCCCACTTCGGGGCCCCCCGCCGGCGAGGCCAGGCCCCCGACCTCTCCTCCCTTCAGCCCTTTTCTTCTCCTGTTTCTTTAGAGATGAAAACCCGACAGACCGGTGCCGGCCCCCTCCCGCAGCTTTGTGATTTTTCCGTGACTCTCACGCAGGGACACTGTCGATGTTTCTCGGCCAGGCAGCGGTGCGGGCCTCTGCTGTGGGGGCCTCCTCTGCTGTGGGGGCCTCCGCGGCAAGTGTCCCAGAAAGAGCACGTCCGCCAGGGGCCCTGGCCGCCTCCAAGCTTCCATCTCCTGAGCAGGATGTCCCTAGAGAGCGCGGCCACCTCCAAGCTTCCATCTCCTGAGCAGGATGTCCCTAGAGAGCGCGGCCGCCCTGCGCCTCACGCTGCCGGGGCTGGGGCTGTGTTGCCACGCCTGACTGGCAGCTGGGCTTTGCTTGTTTCTTAGGCAGGGGCCCACTGTGCAGACAGGGCTGCCTTTGGACTCAGCTAGCCAGCTGCCTCTGCCATGAAAGTGCTCACGAACCTCAGGAGGTTTTGTTCGGTTTGCCTGGAGAGGCAGGGCCTTGCTTTGTAGCTCAGGCTAGCCCTGAACTCATCCTGGTGCCGGGATGGCCGGTCTGCCATCGCTCGGCGGGGTCAGACAAATCTCTTAGTTGCTGCTTTAGATCTGTTTGTGGTACCTTTGCCAGCACAGGTGTTCGCACGGCTCGGCCTGAAGGCTGGGAGGGGTGTGGCGCCCTGGCCCTGGGGTTAGCAGCTCCAGGGCTGGTCAGTGCAGGGCTGGGCGGGTCGCACAGGGCTGGCGTGACCTGAGCCCCGGGAGCAGCCGGGGCTCTGCTGAGCCGTCTGCCGCCTCTGAACATCCTTGAAAGCTTCATCGTGGTGACAGAGGTGACCGCGTTGGCAGCGATGGGAAAGCAGGTCCTTGAGGCTCAACTGAGGGCTTGTCCAGAGCCGCCGAGCCCTGAGGGAGACGGCCTGCCTCTGCCGCTGCCCTCTGTCCTCCACACGCGGCACACCCACACACGGGACACCCATATCCACACACGCAGGACACCCACACACTCGGGACACCCACACGGTGCTCAAATAAATGGCAAAATTAAAAATGTAAAGGACTTTGTATTAACTTAAAAAATTTAAAAACCACAGAGGCTGAGAAATTGGAAGATTGTCTGAATAGTGTTTTGGGACACTAATAGTGTTTGTGGGGCGATGGTGGTGAAGCCTTTAATCCCAGCACTCGGGGGTCCAGGACAGGCGGAGCTCTGAGAGCTACAGAGCAAGTCCGGGACAGCCATGGCTACACAGAGAGACCCTGCCTCAAAAAAACCAGGGAGGAGAGAGGGAGGGAGGCGGGAGGGAAGGAGAGAGGACGGGGGGGGGGGGTCTTGTCCCATTGCACAGCAGGTCTCAAGCTCTGGACAGAGGCAAGCTCGGCTCAGCAAGCTGGGACAGGCATCGAGTGAGCCCCGACCCTCACAGCACCGCAGAGCTGCCCCCGTCCCGTGGGTGCTGACGCTCTGCGGCACGCGTGCCAAAGGCGGGAGGCCGAGCCGCTCAGGTAGAGAAGGCGGGCGGGCTCCTGGCATCCCGAGGCTTACACCGCTGTCCAGCTTACACTCATGGGTTGGCAGAGCCTGGTGTGCACAGGCCCTGAGCTCCCCGCCAGGAGACAGCCCAGGCTCAGCCCCCGGAAGCCACCCTGGGAAGAACCAACTCCGGCCAGTGTCCTCTGACCGCTACATGTGTCCCAATGCACACACACACACACAGACACACACACACACCTTCTTTTACTGTTCTCTTTTTTTGGGGGGTCGTTTTGTTTCTGGAGAGTACGTCTCCACCACGTAGCCCTGCCCTTGCGATTCCCCTGCCCTGGCCCCGCAAACGAGGGGCTGACAGGAGTGTGGCCGGCTAGAGCGAGGAACTCACAGAGCATGGCTGCCGGCTCCCGAGGCTGGCGACCCCAGCCCAGCCCAGGGCCTGTGCTGCTTCCGCTGGCATGGGGCAGGGCAGACGGGGGGAGGGCAAGTGTGGGGTGGGGAGGGCAGAGGGATGTGTGCAAAGAGAAAGCAGGAGGGGGGTTTGGCCTGTACCGCCCCTGGCAGTCATGGTGAGGGAGGAGTCACCATCGTTCTCCTGGCGGCTCCTGGGATGAGGGGCCGACAAGCACGGGGCCTCCTGGGCTCACGGTCTGAGGGCACAGTCCATCATGGTGGGAGGGGAAGACACGTGTGTGAGGCGGCCACTCGCTCAAGTCAGGCAGAGAGAGGCGGTCTCGGCTCGGGCTCTCCTGTTCCTGAGCCTGGAGTCCCGGTGCCGGCCCCCTCCCGCAGCTTTGTGATTTTTCCGTGACCCTCACGCAGGGACACTGTTGATGTTTCTCGGCCAGGCAGCGGGCCCGGGTGCGGGGCCTACGCTGTGGGGGCCTCCTCTGCTGTGGGGGCCTCTGCTGTGGGGGCCTCCTCTGCTGTGGGG